GCAGCAGCAAACGAGCAGCAGCAGTGGCGGCGGCAGCAGCAGCCGCAACAGCAAAGCAGCAGTTGCAGCACAGCAAAGCAGAAAGCAGCAGCAGTGGCACCAGTGGCAGCAGCAAGGACTGCAACAGCAGCAGCAGCACCAAAGCTCACACAAGTTTGGCCTCCACAACCCTTGGTTTTCGGTCAGTTTTTTGGGGGTTGCGCAGACGAAATTGAAAGAGGGGGGGACAGCAAAGCAGCAGCAGCCTTCAGGATTCAAGCAACAGCAGCAACCAGCAAGAAGTAGCAGCAGCGACAGCAACAGCCAAACAGCAGCAGCAACCAGCAGGAGCAGCAACCAGCAGGAGCAGCAGCAGCAGCAACCAGCAGGAGCAGCAACCAGCAGCAGCAGCAACCAGCAGCAGCAACCAGCAGCAGCAGCAACAGCAAAGCAGCGGTTGCAGCACAGCAAAGCAGAAAGCAGCAGCAGCCGCAGACATGCTACCTTTCGTCCACCCCCATCTCCTCAAGTTAAAAAATATGTCGACAACTCGGGCATTTGCTATTGACAGGGAAGGTGATTTGGGTTGGAGTTGCGGGTGAAGCGTTCAGAGACTGGAATTCTTGCAATATTCTTGAATACTCTTGGGGTGTACCAAACACTCTTCATCATACACGCTGAAGACTTCTACCCCCAAGCCCTTCACTCGGATGGGTGTTCGGGTCTCCCAACCCCCAGGCCCTTCGAAGGTCGGTCGTATCCCGGTTTCGCACAGCTCGAGTCGCCCGCCCCACCAGGCCGCTCCCAAGAGGACGGGGACATCCAGCCCCGGCAGCGGGCGACGCAGCTGCAATTGGTTTTGATGTTTTTTGTTTGGTGCGTGGTTCGAAAACGATCGAAAGGTGGTGAAGCTGCAAAACCGGGATCATTTGGGGATTTCCCCATGAAAAGAAGAACCGGCGGAAAAGGAACATGGTGCAGGTTCTAGGTTCTGGTCCGGCTTCTTCTCGTCCGGGCGGACCATGTGTTGTTTCAAAATGCATTATTTTCATAGCCCCTAGGGCTCCAAGTACCTGCTGAGAAGGTGTTTGGGGTGGGTTTGGAGGGTCCAAATACCTTCTGAGAAGGCACGACTGGAGCCCTAGGGAGCCTGAGGATCTGTGTGATCTATGTGACTTGTTTCCGACTCCAAAAGGTCGATGAAGATCGAAGGCGTCCAGAAGGTCAAACGAGAGCATGACGAGACTCTCCTGAGCCTGCTTGTGTTCTTGCTGTGTTGACATGATCCAAACGTATCCAGACTATTCCAGTGTGATTGGAAGATGCTTAAACCCCCGAATGTCTCCAAATTTCAAACACGGAGCATTCCAAATACGGCTTGGCATATCGACCGCGGAGGTGTCAAGAGCCTATAGGTCGACGGCCGACGGTCCGAGCTATCCGCTACCCACGAATCACCTGCCCAACCTTTTTAGGTGGGATTGGTCACACCCCACTAAAACAGCCTCAAACAACCAGGACCTTCACAAGCAGGCCTGTTAAAGGTCATAAACAGAGACTCCAAGGAGGTCACGAACTGAAGGCCATGGTGGACGACGGCCTTGGGCTTTCCTCCGATTTGGCAGCGTTATTTCCATCCACTTCCGATTCCAGCAACAGTGAATGATGATGGTTAGTTAAAGGCCTTTCTCTCAAAACAAACAAGTATATATAGTCGACAAAAACATTCGTTGGCAGACTGTTTCAGGTCATGGGATAGACCTCACATGACCTAACCCAATGGGTTTTGCTTCCCTGTCACGACCATCGGCGGTGCCGCTGGTCGGTGAGGTTCCGATCCACCACCAGCAGCAGATAGGACGGGGGGGCGGCTTCTTCGGTGAGATGGGAGGAAGGGTTCCGGTCAATTGGCGAAGATCGAAACAAATGTCAGGAAATGCATAGCTGTATAATATATATATATATATGCGGCTTATATAAGTATATATATACGGCATTATGGATATAATATATATACACACTTATATACATTGGAATGTTCTTGGAAGATAGTTGGGTGGAGTGGGACTTGTTGTTTAGGTGTATGGTTTGGAAGAGTTAATGTATGTGTTTTTTCATATGTTCTTGTCATGCCTTCTTTGGGAATGGTTCTCCCAACATGGCTCAATCTCTTTGGAGACAAACATGCCTATTTGGGGGTCTATATACATGAACGGTGCCTTCCAACTCATGATCAAAGGCAGACCTCTCCGTCCTCTGCCCTCCGCCATCATCCGCCTCCCCAAAAGCGGGGACCAAAGTCTTGCGTCATTTCCAGTCTTTGTCTCGGAGCACCCTGGTTCCTTCAGCTTGCAGAGACGTCTACTAGTTAGACATACGGGGTTCCTCAGAAAAACCATTAAGCAAGCAGCATAGCGCATGGGCCCACCCAGTTTCTATGCTGTGCTTGCATCTCGGTAAGGATTTACCCATAGGGTTCTATGAATAACAGCAAGTCGACCTTTGGTTGTTTGACGTTTTGTGGGGCAGTAGACATCCATCCACCCTGTTCACAAGCAGTAGATTACAAAAACACATTTGCTTGCTTGACATCCTCATGGCTACATACAGTCATACAACCAATGCAGCCTAAGCTTTGGTTCTGAATGGATATCAGATTGTTTGCATCCATGCTGCATTTCTATCCATGCCCCATGTCTATCATTGCCAAAACTTGACCCATCAAGGGTATTCCTAGAATCACTTCATGTGGAGCCGACTCGAAAGTGCCCAAGACCCACTCTAGGGCGAAGCCGAGATTCTGAATCCACCCTCAGCAGCAACACTCGTGTTTACCTAGAACACTGTTCAACAAGCCGACAGGTCCATGCAGCCCAACCAACTACCCATCACCATCCAATGAGAGGTGCTGAGCTCCGGATCATGGTCTAAGTTGCTGTGTATATATCGACATTGAGGGAATGAGCCCCAAATCAGGGACCTGGTCAGCATTTTGACGTTGGAGTGAACTAAGTCTTGATGATGGTTGTGAGGGCCCTCCAATGCATTAGTTATAGACGTTTGCCAATCCACCACACCACAGACTGGTCAAGCCACCCTTGCATGCAGGATGAGATGTGGCCAGCTCTTGTTTTCCGTTTGTGCATCAAACGCATTCTTGCTAGAGGGGCAATATATGGCAATATCATTCGTGTCACATATTGCTACATTAAAATGTTCTGCAACTGGAAATGAGTGCCGGCCCTTCGCCATAGACTTCTGTCGCGCACCGCAGGCGCTGCGGAGACCGCGCATGGATTTAAGGTACAATACCAAGTGGGTTGTGCTTGTTTGGAGATTGGTGCACGGAAAGAGATGACATCCTTCCACTCCAAGCAACAGCTCGTGCCCACTTTCTAATGAACGATGCAAAGAATGAAGCCATCAGCGCTTCTCAACTTCTTGGCTCTCCCCTTAAGAATTGCTCAACAAATGCAACAATAATCTCATGTGTTCGCGACTGACTTTTGTTGTGAAGCTCACTTCCGTACAGGGACATGTTTGTCCTCTCAAATCAGGATGCCCCTTGCTGGGAATCCATTCCCAAAGCAACCGATCAGGCACTTCCGAGATCGGAGTGAGGCTCCCTTGCAAGATGAGGGAGGCATGACCATGACCACTCCGATCTGTCGGTTTGACATCCGTTTTTGAAGATGGACTCCAATCAGACCCAGCGAAACACCGTGCCCATGCTCGTCGGGCAAAATCGACCAGCCAAGACATGTGGGTCATGGCACCTTTTTCTTTCATCCCAAGGCGCCTGAGGTAGATGGACCTTTTTTGTATATTATATAATGGTCCCCAAAGAGTATTCATGGCACGATTTCCAAGACATGTTTAGTGGGGATCATACTGTTCTATCTATTTGGGAGTCTATAATAGTCTATTCTGTTCATGTTCATTGCACCATTCGTGCTACGCTTCGGCATGACTTGGGGGGACGCCAGCAATTCGGCAGCGCCCGGCTGCGCTGGAGGGTCTTGAGGCCAACTCCGCGGTAGGCCAACTCCGCTGTTGTGTGGCGAAAAATGAGATTCACTGGAGCATTTGGAGCATGACAAAAAAAACAAATGTAACATGGCATAATATAGTCATATAATTTAATGTACTGTAATAATATGTTATAGTATATATCATGAATATTGTATTAATTATATATAGTATTTAATATATGTATTATGATATGGCAACAGGTGTCATTCATGACTCCACAACTCGGTCTGACAATCAGCATTGGCTCAGAGACACAGGCAGAACATAGAACATAGTGTTGATCGTCTCTTCCGCACTGGGAAACCAGAACCCAAATTGCACCCGAACACAGTCACATCAAACAACGAGAGAATCCACAAATAACAGCGTTTACGGCGGTATGCTTCTGGTACGTAGCACAGAACCTTTGTTTGGCAGACAAGCATATTTGAGTTTGAGTCGCATGCAGCGTACGGGACACCAGCGGTATCACTTCGCAAATGATTGACAGAACAGCTTGCATTGAGCAGCCAATCGGAATTATCGAATTATCCTCCTCCACCTGCAGACCACTTTGTCAATCCCACGGATTTAAGACAGTTTGCCTTACTCCATCGCTGGCTTTGGGACCGCCGCGGAGCACCGCGCCGAGTCTCAAAGCACTCCCGAACTCGGGACGACGTTCCGAAGGCGCCGGTGGCGGCTGGTGAACGTCCCAAGCAATGCAGATTGGATGTATATCCGGAATCCCACGTACTCCATGTATGGAATATATTCTCTACCTTGGGGTGATTTGAGGGGTGAATGTAGGCATAGCGGCATAGATATTCCGTACATGGAATGTTTGGGTATAAGACTTAGAGAACTTTGGATCCATGAACGACTGGAAGAAACCATCCTTTGCTGTGAATCAGCCAGCTCACCAAGAGTGTGTTTAGCAGGTCAAGAAGAGTTGTTTCTCTGATAGAACATGGAATGAATACATAGTGTTTTTTGTGATATGCTGCGATATGGATGATGTCAAACAGGTCATTCGATGTCAAAAAGGTCATTCATTCAGTCTGCAATTCTTCGCCGCCTTCGAGTGCAACTTCCATGAAGCTGGCTACTTCCACACACGCAGCTCCAGGCGGATGATCGTGCTGCCTAGTGCGAAGGCGGGCGCTCGACCTGGTGAGATTGGTGGGGAGAACAACCAGAGGTGGAGAGGAAGTAGCCTGGAATTGAAGGATCTCCTGGAGTGGAGTCTCTAGCCATGATTAGTCAACAAGCTTCATCAATTGTGCTTCCCACCGCCCTGTGACTGGATGTCAGGGAGTGATGGTGAATAGATATTGAATCTAATCACATCATTTATGCCAAGTATGTTTATTCACTGGAATCCCTTCCAGCTTCTTCAGTTCACGACCGAACTGTGGAGTCCCAGCCGATGACCGCCTTGGCCTTTGTGCGAACATTAAGTTCGGTCAAACGAACTGAAGAACCGGGGCGTAAAGTCTGCTTCCAAGGCACAAAGTTCATCAGATACTTCTTCGGGCCACAAGGGCAATCGTACCACCATAGTAATCGTAGCACCTGGAATATCACTATCATGAGGTGTAGTTTTTTTCAAGACTGGGGTGCTCTTCCCAGCTGGATCTCTGTGTCAGGTCCTCCAGCAAGCTCCTCGTTGGACCACCCGAGGCGAGTGGACCATCCTCGTCCGGCGAGTCGGTTTTGGGGCAACGGCGCGAATCGTTTTGGGGAACGATCTGGAAAGAATAAAAATAATACAAAAGCAAACACTAATGTAAACTGTAAATTATATTGTTCCTTTTTATAAATTATCATACGTCGAGTAAGATGTTTGCGGGGGCCGCGGCACAGCGCGGGACGGTGGCAAGATACATCAGGATACGTTGTCTTTGGTTGGTGTGTTCCTCGTGGACAGGGGTCTTTTTCACCCAGGCGCCCATCAATTAAAACCATTTGGTATATGATGGGAGTTGTTGGAAAACCAACCTTTTTGTGTGAAGTTTTTCATGTGTTTCTAGTCACACCATCGGTGAAACACCAGAGAAGATGTGATGCTGAATCTCCACAGCTCGGGGCTGTTTCTACTTAGGCAAAGCACGCGCATGCACGCGCCGAAGCATACCGCATAGTCAAACATCCGGGCCTGGGAACGTCAAAAAATACAGAACCCTCATCTATAATTATTCTTAGCCTTCTTGGAGAATTCTGGACAGACATAGGACACAAGAATTGGTGGACTTCCATGAACGTCACGTGGTGCTCGGCGCATCGAAGGCTGGCGCACCGTGGCGCATCGTGGTGCATCGGCGGCGTATCGTTCACTCGGCCTCCTGGCGCGTCGAGGCCTCCCGGCGCGAGGAGCCCACCTTCGTGCTGGACTTAGGGGCCGATGGACTTCGGAGCTATGATAGGTCACTGACATTCGTCTAAGCCGAAGTAAGGTCTATGGTAGCTCCTTCTCTTTCTTAGCTGATCTTAGCTGTTGTTCCATGACCAACTCCAGAAAAATGCGGTCAGTTCCTTACCATGCAGGGCTTGTTTTCTGCACAAGACAATATGTCTTTACGGCCAACTCGCCGTTGATAAGCGTTTGACCCATGGTCCATTGACGTGGCAAAGTGGTCGTGTTTTGGTGAGCAAGCCCTGATACCAAAACAACATTATATATATATATATACCAAGACCCACAAGGGGTGGTTAATGGACACCCCTTAACCTCTAAGGGGCTATCAATAGACACCCCTTAGGGTGTCCTGGTAGAGTCATCCCCAACTATAGAATTACAGTTTCTCACTGTACATGTTCAGAATTGACTTCTTCAACTGTGGTGATAAGTGATTTTTGGACACCCCCAACAAAAACATGGGAACCGGGGTCTTTTGTGGGTCTTGGGCGACCCATAAGAAACCCGGCCTGAAAAAAACGGGAGCGATTGTTGTGAGTCACGGCTGAGCGGTCCAAGGTCAAAAGCTTCAACCAGGTCTTAGACACTCCGGTGTAAAAAAGACAGGGGAACACCAGCTCTCTCCAGCGGAATTTTTCCATCGGACTTCGGAAGACACAGCTCTCTCCTCTACGATGCCTCTACTCATTCCGAATATTCTGTGCTGACGTTTTTCTTCGCACCCGGAAGCCCTTTCAGTGAAAACGTCAGCATTGCGTCTTCCACAAGCCCGGGCAACCCAAGCCAGTGGTGAGCGAAAGGAGCTGCAAACGTCTTTCCTCTTTTGCTTCGCATATCCAACTGCGCGGCTGGCTGGAGTGCTGACGGTGGCGTATGTCCTGCGAAGGTACAACGTTCCTGCTTGTGGTCATGATGGAGTACGGAACAAGATGGATGAGGGGCAAGAGGTATTTCATGATTTGTTGTCCCAACAACCTGGGAACGTCTAGTCTACAGCTTGGGCCCATGACTTCCATGAGTCCAGAAAGAAAAGGCTTACACTCTGACTCACTCAAAAGTGCAAAATTCTCAAGAAACAGGGGGCATCGATTTGCCCCGGGTCCAATTCGTGCTGTCATTGTTGAGAGAGCCAAGCCCAAGCCTGCTCCTGGTCCAAAGGTGAGCTTTGCACTTCCCAGGGATTCGATCATGAGTCTTGCACAACTCACTGTGCACCTCAGCAACAACCCAATGGGCACCTCACTCCGACCCCGTCGGAACGTGGAACGGACTGACCAGTGCATAATTTTTGAGGCGGAAATGCTGGTCATCCTCATCCATCTGCAGGGGCACTGGCAGCGGGCGCTGCGGGGGTCCCTGATCCGAACTGCTCGCAACTCACGCGGGCAACGCAAGAGGTTGGGAAGGACACGAGAAAGATCAGGCAGAATGGTGAGTTGTTTTTTCAATGACATCATGACTTGTGTGACGGGATCTAACTCTTGGGTGTTCCTGTAAAGTTTTTGTATCCCTGCCCCCTCAAACCTCAGGATATTCTATGCAGGTTTGGTGATCACCATGTGGAATAATCAACAGATTACTTTTGCGGGTGAAGTGACGCGTTCCTCGAAATCGTGGCGAGGTTTGGGCACTTGAAGCAAAACAACTTGTTCTTCTCCGCGCATCTCGAATTGCCTGCATTGGTCACTCACGCGAGTGAACTTCATTTGGGAGTCATGTGGATTCTTGGTTAAATGACTTGACGCCCCCTTATGAAGAGGTGTTTCAATCCCAATGTGTTGTTTTATTAATCAAGCATCTATACATATCTCTACATGATTTGTTCAGGAGGATTTTGGCTCCATGAACACATATTGGCACATACCAATCACTACAAAACACCCAAGACTGGTCCAGGAGGCTGGAGCTGGGGGATGTGGGTAATCACCATATACTCAGCAGCCTGTTTTCACTGATCTAGAGGATCGGATCTTGGCTCCACTTGGTAATCCAACTTGGATCTCACGAGATGTTGGCTTTTATCATAAAGAATCAGATACCATCTTCAGAGAACCCTCCGCTCTCCAAAGTGTTTTGTGGTTGTTTTCCTTGAAAGCACGCTTGTGGGTCGAGCCGAGATGCGTCTCTCATCCTTTTCCACCACCTGGAAGCCCTTTGAAGCCACATGGGCCTTCGCATCCGATGTGTCAACGACTTGCCTCTGGGTCCATGGACCTGAAGGTCCAAAGGCATCACTTCTGCGGCCATGGGAAGAATCAGCACTCCTTTGAAAAATCTCCTAGACTTCCGAGACCATCAACAAAATATAGGGTTGGCGTGGTTTGGTAGTGTAACATCCGATTTTAAAACAATGGTTGTTCGGGATTCAGCCTATCAAGTGAATGGTGTTTGGAATCCTAGGGACTCGAAAGTATAGGTTTTGGACCACTGCGATCTGGCATCCAAAAAATTCAGAGCTTTAATGACAGCTGGGAACAGCGTCCTCCTGTGCCAGTGCTGAAGTTTGCTTCGTGGCTGCTTTTGGCACGAGCTAGCTTCGAGTCACAGATGCAGCTGGAAGGGGCCAATTCTCTCAAGACGGGCGGCTAGTCCACACATGAACTGTCATGGCACCAATTTTGACACTGATATACACTGATGGGAACTTCCCCCTCTTCTTTTCACTATCAATAAAGCCTTCCTTTCGGCACTTGAAAGCTCCGCCGCCTTTGACTGGCAAAGCAAACACCCACAAACAATGAGTGGATACCACAGTGGCAAAGTAGATCCCGCCACCTGGTCGCACCAGATCCACGCTTTTTTTCTACACTCTACAACCCTCGCTTCGTCGACCCGATGTCGAACCGCTTCACCAGCATCGCCAAGCGGACGTCCAGTCATGGTCGACCCCTCTTGGTGCTCAAGGTCCGGGCGGGGCGGTCGAAGCCGCCGGCGGGCCATCAACGAGATGCTGTCGGGTCCCAGGGTGGGCGGTTGTTTGTGGGTAACTGTTCTGCATTCAGTTCTTAAAGACAGATGCTCAATTGGCGGGGGGAGGGTAGTTAACACCCAGCAAGGTGGTGTTGTCAACATCCACCTCTTGATGCCTGGACTTGGAGGTCCAACCACTTGTCAGACTCCGCTCGTTTTGGGATCCCGAGGACACGCAAGCAGTGCTGGCCAGCACCGGTCACGGGAAGGCACCTGACGTACCACCAAGGACCGAAGATAACCATCCAGTTAAGCTGTTCATTGCTTTGGGACCATTTGGCAGGTAGCTTGATCCAAGACATAGGGTGGGAGGCTTCTTGAAGGCCAGTTCTTGGTCATGTGGATGATCATACCGGTTTGATAACTCATCTGGTCGCTGGGCCCGTGGATGTTCATCCCCACGGGTCGCTGGCCCGGCAGGGCAGCGCACGAAGGGACTTAGGATCTGAAGACGAAGGACCGAATACGATGCAGTCAGAAATCTCCAATCTCCATGCACATCAGGGGAACGTGAACAGAGCGGAACTGTGAACAAATCATGAAGAAGAAGATAATCTGGAAAATGCACTGGCACATGAGGACCTTCAGGACGTGACCTGTCTCCTTCGTTCGTCTCCGACGGACGTGAACGGACGTCCGCTAGGTTGGCACTTCGAGCTTGGTCGAGTCCGCCGCTTGGATACACGGTGTGGGCGTGGACGGATCGCAGAGCGGCCTCAACCTGGATAAACCTATACCAGGACCCCCTGTTTGGGGTGTCTAATTATAGCTCTTTAGTGGTTAAAGGGTATCCATTAACCACCCCAAACCGGGTGCCCTGGTACTGTAACCTTTTGGGGGGCTTGGTTTCCCCACTTGGCAGATAGAACGGGTGGAATATGCTAAAACCTTTCCTTTTCAAGGAAACTGAGGGACTCAGATCATGGCTTCGGCTTGGAAGACGAGCTGTCCCAAGGGGCCCCCCCACGGTGTCCAGTTGGCCCTTGCTGGAATATCCAAGGCCCAAGGCATCTTCTTTGAGCCTGGGGTCTGCCAGCATCCCAGATAGAGGGTAAAGGCGTGCAGCGAGGATCTTTCTTGCAACACCTCTTGGAAATAGCTAGTTGGCATGTCCAATCTGTCCTATTGGAAATACACGGAGATACCTCTGGACCAGGTTGCTCCCGGAAATACTTTATGTGCTGCAATTCCCACTTCCCTCCACAATCGATCTAACAATTCAATGGCCGGGCACCCTGCTGACAGTGGCTGCCTTTCGTTTGAAAGGTCAGATCCATCTACCAACCACCGAAACATACCGAAACCAGCCAACCTGACCAGCGAAGGGTTCGACGATTGTGGTGTGTTCGACGGATCGTGTTAACCATAGATATTCAGATCTACCAGTTTGGGAGGCTTCTTTCACCCCAAGCGATCGTGTCAGGACGATCGTGGTCATCGCGTGCGCTTAGCCTTGGTCTCCCAGCTGGTCGAGGCACGTCGACCGATCGGCCACCGACCGGCGTCGACCGGTGCAGGACCTGGCACCGGGTGCGGGATGGCATGATGGGCTCAATGTGTCAGGGTGGCTAGTAGCTTCGTTGCTACTGTAGTAGCGATGCCCTTGTTATAGTAGCGATGCACTTGCTACTAGTAGCGACGATGCACTTGCTACTAGTTACCAGTAGCGATGATTGGCTCAATTTGGTTTTGGCTGGCCTGTGTGGATGTTCCCGAACTGGGGCTTCCAGCCCGCATGGAAGTCGCTGAGAGAGTTATCATTGATGAGGATTCTACAGAGTAAAACCACCTGAAGGCTGGAAGGGTTCTGCCATCTACTCTGAATTTGTAGTTTTTATATGTTTTGATCATGCTAGCTTACCCAAGATTCAAAAGAGTGTGCACTGTTTCCAATGTATTTTACCCTAAACTGTGGAACCCAACAGGCCTGGGATGGCGTGGCTCGCGCGATTGGTGATGATTTTGATTGTTCGCAACCATCAGCATCCTAAATCACATAAAGTCCCAGACACTCCATGTAATTATGAATATTCACCTAGGAGTGGTTTCAGGGGTCAATGGCATGTGAAGAATCATCAGAAATGCGAAGGTGAGGCTCTACATGTCCAGGTTTGGTCCGGCCTCCCAAGGCCGCATGACATCCGCGCAGTTTGGAAACACGGATGTCCTGCCGAAAAACGGGCGAAGTGAGATGAAGGACCAAAACCTAGACTTTCTCGATGAAGTCTTCATGTATCTCAATGTAACATTATGTACCACCGACGTTCCACTAGACTTGACCTAGCGAGACTGGCGGTAGACTTCACTCAGAGACTTCTCGACCGGCGTCGCGCTATGTAATACACTGCCATCGCCGACCTTCCCTGCGAGGTCATTGCTGAGCTGCGACGCTTGGAGTATCAAGTGGTCTTCATCTCTTCAGGTGACACCCGAAACTCGGGACACCGGGAGGGGTGACGTCCTGAAAACTGATGGAAAGTGGAACATGATAGATTGTGAGTGTTGGTTTCCTGAATTCATCATTCGCCCTTGGCTTCGAAAGAAAAGTCACATGCTTTTCTTCACTGCCGGCATGTATTGGCAGTCCGATCAGTGGACCTCTGTGCATCCTCCGATCCCTCCCGATCGCACTGCCTCCAGGAGCCGTTGGGATGGGATGCATCAAGCTGGGCATTGCCAAGCCCACGGACCTCCGGAAGAAGCAGGTGGGAGAAACAGTATGTCTATGTATGTCTGAAGGTGAAGATCCTGAGGGCAACATGGGGCCACTCAAGTGTCTAACATTAGCAGTGCAAAAGAGGTCAACTTGACCCCAAGTTGAAGCCCCAACGGACCCCAATTGGCCCCATGGTTGAGCCGAACCGGGTTGGAATGGGGCCAATCCATCGACTCCAAGCTTGCAACATGTTGGGTTCAATCAGCATCAAGCGAGATGTCGCAAAGAGTTTAAAGCAACTGCGGATGTTTAACGTGTTTTTTTTGTTCACACGTGCATAAGATCGGCTATGCGGGTCAACAATCTGGAACATGGGCTCATCTTTGGGTCGCAACATTTGCAAGAATGTCAAGAGCCGAGAGTTTTTATGCACACCTTAGGAGGGCGGACTTTTCAAGAGAGTCTCCCCCTAGCTAAGCCAACTGAGCACTACACTACGCCTCAGCACCTTCAGTGTGGCGGGCTTTGTTGACAGACTCTTTTCCAAGCCACCCTGACATTTACCAATGTCTGTATATATGTATATATATATATATACACGAGTTTATCACGCATAGATCTTAGTGCCCTAACACCATCGCCTCAACACGTGGAACGTGTTCTTTCCACCTTCAAAGGATTGCTCGTATTTGTTTAATTGGATACGGAGGCAAACAGACACAGAAAGATTTGGTGAGATGGGGATGCTCCATTTTTTTGCAGGATGTTCTCGCCCCAGAAACCGATGTTTTCGAAGCCACCAGGCGGTGGCCGCGGCCGGGCAGAGCCAACTGATCCGGATGTACGAGGCGGATCCTGTGGATCGGGCGCATGAGACGGTGGGTGAGCATGAGACCCTGATGCTTTCCTTAGACTGGACATGATTTCTTGGGTGCAATCACGACATGGTGGAACCATGGAGGCTAGTGGTTTTTGAGTGTTTCTTTTTCCAGGTCCCCTGCTTTTAGATGTTTACATTGGTTTGCGGATCCGACAAGAGATAGTTGGTGGTGCCGGGTGGGGTGTGCGGCAGTGTACTGTGGACTAGATTTATAGCAATCCCTGGTGGTTTACCAGAGGGTATGTGATGCCTTCTTGACTGGGGGCTATCCAGCAGTAGCCTCAGTAGCCACCCTATGAATCTGGGGCTACCCATTGGAAAATGGCGCCGATGTTTTTCACACCCGGGATTCACTTGTTGTGGATCAGTGGAACAGGATGGTTCTCCGAAATCGACGCAGGTGACGAGAAATCTGTTCCACCCGAGTGAATCCACCGAGCGATCTTTTTGGGGGGGAATCCACCCTATACCCTAGGGATCCAAGTACCTCCTCAAAAGGTACTTGGACCATCTTGGACCCTCCTGGCACCCACCCCAAACACCTTCTCAGAGGGTACTTGGATCCTTAGTATAGTGAATCGAACCAACCCGGTCGCCGATCGGCAGGGGGCCTTACTCTCCTCTTGCCCGATACGCGACCCACACCCGTCCAGCCACCGTCCAGCCGTGTGGGTTATCATCTCCGTCTCGTCTCCGAGGACCTCTTTGGGACACTGGGCGTGAAGGTGGCACAACTGTTGCTGAGCCAGTCAGACCTTTTAGACAAGGAGCACTGGAGCAACGTGACTCGTGGCAGGCAAGTGTTGAAGGAAAACCTTTGGGTTTTGATGAGGGGTATGACTGACCACGAACTGTAGTGGTACCCAGTGATAGAATAGATGCAGGGCAACTGCTTGTGGCAGCCTATCAAGATCAGGAGTTTAGTTTGGAGGAAGAAACTTTTCTATTTGAAGGAGAGGGGTGGCCATTATCAACTCATTAAGGAGGTCTATAGTTACATCGTAGTATCCAGGCACCCCTTGGAACTCATGTTTTATACTATATCCCAGACACTCCATGGGACTGGAATTCATGCATGCAGTTTTCCAATTATTCCCACATAGAAGAATATGCCATCGATGGAGTATGATGGAGTGTTTGGGTATTGTGTTCATTTTTGGGGTCATTAGTCATTGGGTGAACATCCCAGCTCGGCTCACCAAGCGAGAAAGGAAGAAAAACAGCTTCGTCAAAAGGGAGCATTTCACCATCAAAGACTCCATGGGACAGGAAGATATGCCTACATGGGACCCTTTTCAACCACCCCAATGTAGGTACAGTACATATGGCATGATCGGCTCCAGGCTCCAACCTGTCTCTCAACTGCTTCAGGAAAGTCACCATCATGGAGTGCCTTGCCCTGGGCGTGGTACCCATCATCAACGAGAACGACTCCACCAACACGGCCGAGCTTCGTTTCGGCGACAACGATGCTCGGACGTCTTCTCGCAACATTCTTCGACGAACGTCCTGGTGCAATTGGTTCGAGTTGCGTTGAGGACGCCCGAAAGGAAGTGTAGTGTTTGAAGGTGCGATCAACAGGTTTCAACAGGCGGACAATGACGTCCAGAACTTTCCTGGATAATGATACTCTTTTTTGTTTTTAGGGATGAACTTTGCGTCTAGCAGGGGCTAAGCTTCGACACTAGCAGTTTGTGCATAGGGGAAGTACGTGGTTGTCCTGCCCCACGTATGCATGCTAATGGACATTGTGGCATATCTCTTAGGGCAGCTGACCACTATGATATAGGCGTGCGGGACAAAAACAGCTTTCTTTAGGCTACAGTACTGACAGCTCCTCAACAGCAGCCACTTCATGCACTTGTTTTCCCTTTTGGCCATTGAGTTCATATGAGACACCAGTGGAACATATTGTGGTGTGTCTCCAAGAAGCTCGACATTGGGAACATGTCCTCAGAAGAAAATATGTTAACACTAGTGAGTCGTGAGTACCTTTTTTGTTTCGCATCTCAGTGACTCAGCTGATGACTTTGGGTAAACTTCAATGTCCAAGATACCAGCGAAAACATTCAGAAGGAACAGCAAGACTGTGAAAAGCAGCAATATTGTGAAGGAACAGCGGCTCATCCGGTCCAAGAGCGAAAACATGATCATCCGCATGGAGAAAAAGCATCATCCGCAAGCATCCCCAAGCCAGGCAAGCTTGGCTACCCCGGAGGAACCCTTGAACATACTTTTCAGACGATCAAGTCGCCACAGAAACTCAGCCTCACAATTGACATGTTTCGTTAATAGCAGGTGTGTCAAGAGGGATGTGAGTTAAACACTCACACTCACACTCATCATCTCATCAAAAGTGATGGGAAGTGAAACGGTGCTGATTTCAGAAGCCACCTGTTCAACGTAGGCCGTTTATCCTTACCAGTCAGAAAACCACCCAAATTGAACATGGTTCTGTTTCAACACAGGAAGACCAGAAGAAGCCCCCGAGTACATCTGAAAGAATGCAAGCCCAAAAACACAGTTATATACAGTACAAGGATCTTCGGGCTGTGGCTTTATGGATGAAAAGGCGGATACACTCTGACCCACACATGGAAGTGGACAAGAGGCGCCAGGAAGACAGCTCTACGAACAGGGTTCGTTCATTTTAGTGAGTGGGAGTGTAACAGTTGCATAGTTGGAAGATCCAGGTATATCCCCCCACTTCTTGCAACAGGCCCATGTGGTCCCTGCGATGGGCGATAGTGAAGCGTTGTTGTTTTGCCCGTCTACGCCTGTCCCCGTTTAGGACAACTTGGCTGCACTGACTGCTGTCCAATTGGAAGCTGATGCCCTTTGCACCTGGGCATGGTTTGTTAGCGGGCTGACAACTGCGCTAGTTAGTAGTTGTGCATGTATGTCCAGCCGCAAACAGTTTGTCCGATGCCACTACACTTGGCATCAAAGTCGGCACCTGTACATACTCATTGTAAATATATGACAGCGTTTATCATGTTGAACCAGGGCAACAGCTCTAATACTTGTACCTTTTACGGTAATTGCAGTTATGTTTTGTGTGTTTGGGCCACAACTCCCTTGTGTTTCGGAATATTTGATTTAGTCGTATGATGACTTGATGGTTCACGTGTCCAAAGGTACTGGTAGCATATTTTGGGGGGGATGGGGTGGGGGGCGGTATTGACGTTAACTCGAAGTAGAATATCACAATGTGCAGAGTTGAACAACAGCTGAGTGTGCAGGAGTGGGCAGCGAACAAACGTCTCACAAACAGCTATGTAAGCAAACTTGTAATTCCCTCACCGGGGAAGCTTCGCGGACGTGAATATATGTTACATGATTTGTATCACGTTGACTTCCAGTGGTAATGTCAACCAAAGACAGAGCTGGAGGTGGGAAGACAGGTAAAGATCTGATGGTGTACTGTAAGTCGCACTTGCAAAGCTAATGGGCGATGCCCATTTTTTCGGGTTCAGCAGCGACATGTTCGTGACTGTTGTCCTCTTTATACCCTCAATTACCAAGGGTCTAGGATGGGTGTTCCCAGGGTCCCTGCCTACTAGTTGCCGGTATGAATTTGTCCAATTCACCGTTTCGCGAGTCATCGCGAGTCATGGCAAAACCCGCACCCCGCCCAAACAAAAATGAATCGCGCCCCGGCCACAAAATAGCAAACACACACGCGCAGTCGTACTCGAAATGATGCGAAATGTTTTGCTCTTTTAATTTGTGTATGTATGTTTTGGCCCAAAGCAACGCCTAAGCCTTGGGACCTGCTGGGCAGGTTGTAGTGCGGCACACTGCACGGTAGACGTAAAAACGTGAAAAAAGGACCGTTTTTGAGCGTTGGGATTTCCTATTCGTATGGGAAGAGTAACACGAGAACCGGTTTGCTCAACAGTTCATCCCAGCAGGTGGACGAAGTTAAAATTGTCAAGATTTGTATAGCAAACCCTTGAGGGAAGGATACTTTTCCGACACAGAACTGCAACATGATGTTGGGCAGAGCAATGTTTCCCTGTGTTTCCGAGGTGCTCATTTGCATGAAAAGAGTAGAATGAGTAGAATTGCTCACCCAGTCAGTGGCTAACTGGCTAACCTTCTTCCTTTGGGGGATTTGGGACGTGAACCAGTGGAGAACCATGATAACCATGCGCGTTTTGACAGAAAGGTGTTCGCCACACCTGCCCAGATTTTGAGTTTTTCCTTAAGCTGCTCCAAGGTCTGTTTACGGATGTCTCCTGCGTTTACACCGCCAACCCTCGGACGAACCCTGACGCGAAGCCGCTCTATGTGGTGCCAGAACCATGGGTGATTTGGCCCGAAAGACGATTCGTCGTAAGGGGAAGGTTTGGGGTTCTACCCAAAGACATCTGCGGTGTTTAATGAGAATCTCCGGGCGATGCTGGATGAAGCATCCGTGGAGCCTCTTGTGTTACGACTTCTTGCATGAGAATCATATGAGGCGAGGTGCTACACCCCGGGATGCGAATGTGATTTTTGCAGATGATTGAAGGTTGATTGGGAATTGTCCCCATGACTGGGATCTCCCAATATCTCCCAATGATTCAGGGTTTTTTGGGGGTGGCTCCCTAACTGTGCCATGGGCATCAAGAATGACCCTGTTTCGGTGTTTTTTCCGGACGTGCCGCGGAGACTTGATGGTTTCAAACAGCAGAGTCTTAGCTTAGCAGTGCCTCCCACAAAGATCTACCTCTTTTCTGATATATGATGATGCAGAAGTTACTTGGATTGACACAGTGTAGAAGTTCTTTGGATTGACAATGAGGGCAAAGCCAACCCTTCAAATTTATCCTTGAGCGTCGCAGTGAACCTTGGCACCCCAAGGTACTTGGAGGCTGCTCAGGGTTTGGCCAACTCGACAAACGATCATCCTGCACAAAAGGAAAAGACATGAAGAAAACCCTAGACCCCCCCGGGAATTGTGGAGTTGATCTCCAGATGTTTCCACTCAGAAACACCAGCTGGTTGCGGAGTGTGGAAGTACATCCTTCACAGATCGAAAGAACCATCCTCCACCGTGTGTTGTGATGGACGACCAAAGCGGCTTGATACATGGGCGGATTGATAGAGACACTCACACAGTTGAGAAGGCACTGGTAAGAGCATGAAATCAGGGTGGTACCCATACCAAGAGTGCATTATCCATTTTTTATGATCTAGTTACTGCACTACCAGACGGGGTGCGACACACACACACACAGATATAATACATACATATATATATATATACCAGGCTCTGAAGGTGGAGACCAAAGATCCGGGCAGTAGCTTGGGCACCGGTGGCATGTGCGGGCGCCCGGTGGACGTCGCGACGGAGATGTCGTGGCAGGACTTAAGTCTGAGATGTACTGTGTGGGACCAGTTCCGCCTTCACCATGTGGGAACTCTGTGGCATTCTGTAGCCATGTGGTTTTAGTTTTGAAGGACTTCCATGGATAGGGTCGCCCTGTCCTCTAGTGCAAGCAAACTCCAAGGGAAAGAACCAGATTGTTTTGAGCATAGTTCTTATAGAATTACTTAAGCCAGCAAATAGGGAGTATGGAGAAGCCAAAAGAAAATTCAACTGGCCAAGTCAGAGGATTTCTGTACCGTTTGTTTTTCTTAATGGAAACTGTCTATTGTTCCTGGTGTATGTTTGTTCCCACCGCAGAACGAAAATTCACATAAGGACTGTCTCGTCACAATAAGGACTCCCAAGAACCCCCTGAAATCTGTTCGTCTCCAACCCTGGTGTTACTTCAGGAACGGATGTCAGCTGGATCTCCACATCGGGCACCAGCCAGCTTGCTCGACGGGAGATATCAGTAGGCCTGCCAATTCTCCCATCCACAGAGACCGAATCCGAGTTGGACAAGCACCCCAAAAGAGACAACAGAATGGGAGAAGAACGTCCAAGAGAGGTTGAGAGACCTGAACTGGGACCTGAAACTAGTGGTATACATATGGGATAGGCTGCAGGCCTGTTTGATTCAACCTCTTCAACGGTTTGCCCCGCATGATCTCTTGTTGCTCGCTGAGTGGTTTGTCACTGAGCGGACGAACAAAGACTCCATGTATGGTCATGTATACCATGTTATATTATTTGTTCTTTTCGATAGTTAATTTTATTTGACATGATATACGTAGATTCTTCATGAGTTTTCCGGTATTATATATTATATATATATATATTCATTGTATTCATGGATGTGTTAATTGTTAGGGAGACACCCTGGCTCTGGGCGTACGGCTCGGAATCCGAACCTTCCAGGTGATCGTGACGAAGGGGGTCGGTGCCCATCGCCTTAGGTCGACCAAGATCCTAGCAGCTCGAACGGCCTCGGTCTCAGGCGTGAAGCACGAACAAAGCACGACCGGTCTCAGCGCGTTATAGCGCGTCCGGGGAGAGAGGGTGAGGTGACTCCGCGTTCGGGAAAACCAGCGACTTACGGAGCGAACGCGACGGAAGTGCGGCGGTTGGAGGTGGACATGTCATGTGGGCAGCTGTGAACGCGCAGCTTGCAGCCCGAGCTTCTGCTTAACAGCAATCTGTATCTGACACGATCATTTGGAAGGCGAGTCTCTAGTATACAGAAGGCATGCCCCAACATCATTTGTCATGCTGGAAAGAAACATCAAAGATTCAGATCCCATGTTGAAGCCTGCAAGTCGGATCTCATGTTCAACTCATCAGGGAATTATCAGAAGTGAAGTATCTGTTTTTTTTTAACCCTTCAAGTATATAGATCCCTTTTAGCAAAGTACCCCGGCAGCCCAATGATGAAGCAAAGCTAAATGGAGGAGCCTTCTCTATTGGTATCTACAGTAGATCCGCTATCCCGATGGTGTTTGCAAAAAGAATTGTCCACTGTTCACTTGGCCTGGAGGTATCCCCTGCTTGCTCATCAACAGCAGCTTCCCACGACGGATTTTGTCGCTGCTGGAGCACAAACCGGTGGAGGATGCGGAGGCCGCGGCTGGATGCAAAGGTTGCACGTTGTTCTCAAATCATTGCTTCTGGTTGGTAGACGATCATCACTCTTTTTGCAATCAGGTTCCCGTTAGAATCAACTAGCCACTTCCAAATGACCTCGTCGTTTTGGGGATCAGTCATGCACTTCAGTATTTGCTGTCGCTGCTACATGGAGTTTGGCCCAACATCAAGAGATTCATGAAGGATTGGCCCAGAGCAACTGTCCACTTTCTGGGGGTCTTCTCGGGTCATCTTTTTGAACATAAGGGAGGGGTCAAAGGTTGATCCTCCACCAGACAGGAGCGTTTCGATGCGAAAAAAGACAAACGAGTGATTGGCAGTAACTTGCTCGTTTGCTGCCATTGAAACACCGGTCTTCGCTGGAACGGAGCGCAACAGGCCAGATTGCCGGAAGAAGCCAGCTACTTCATGGCCATGGACCGACCGGGGCTCGGCTTTTGGGGGGTTAAAGGAGCACGCAACATTATGCAACTTCTCAGGGAGAAGAAGGGATTATTTGAGGTCCTTTTTGCCGAAGACGAGCTAAGAGGTTGAGACATACTCAGAGATTGGCATGGGGGAATTCTGCCGGGTAGGCATCAACCCATGGATTTGTTGTTTAGTTGTTTAATTGAATAGTTGTTTGTTTGTGTGTTTGTTTGTTTGTTTGTTTGTTTGTTTGAGTGTATGTACCCACATATATAATATTTAATATTGCTCATGTTTGTGGTTCCTGAGAGTCTAGCATAGATTCATGCTTTTCGTAGTTTCTGTGATGCAATTTCTGTGTGTGTATGACGTGCCAAGCGGATTGGAACCATGAACCATAAAGAATGTGCTCATAGGGCTGTACTGCATCAAGGTTTGGACACAAAACTCCTCATAGGGCTGTAGTGCCGTAGTTGCTTATATTGAGGTGGCCATTTTGATGGATGCGTTGCAACTGGGAAGACTTCCCAAACATCCAAACATTTTGTGCAACGATCAACTCGCAAGTAGATGAGTAGGTGAATGGATTACAGTGTTTATGCAGACCCAGATTGAGAGCCTATTGGCCCAACCTATGAAGATCTACAAAATCTACAAAGATCATCATGGAACAATGGAACACAGTGTTTAATGCGTCTTAAGAGTCTTAAACACAGGCACTGTGCAATCAATGGTGAGTTTGTATTAAAAAGAGTGAGTGAAGCACCACTGTTGGGAATGGACGAGCAATGATGTTGGAATAGTGGTCCAAGGTGCTTGTTGATCCAGCGAGCATCCCATTAGGCAGGAGACGAGCACAAACATGTGGGCCACTCGTTGAACCAACGTGTCGACTGGCTCCACCGCAGGACACGACTCAGACTGTGCACGACACACGACGATGGATCTTGTCCCTGCCGGCTGCTCGACCTTGGTGTTTGGCCAACCAACGAAGGTTTCACGAAAATTTCATGAATGTGGAACATGACCATCATGAACATGACACAGATGGGTCGATTGTTCCCATGAATTCCATGAAATTCCATGTGTTGTTGTCCACTCACCTTCGTGCTGCATTTCATGCCGCTGAATTGGACAAAATACAGAACAACATAGAACAAAAAAAAAACATTATCCTGGGTCAAGGACTCATGGGTGTCCAATAGACTACGTACCAACCACTCCCGGTTCATGAGACCCATGTTCTTCTTCGCTTCCCAGAGTCGCCCAGGTCAGTGGACAGATCGAGCTGGACCACGGAGCTGCAAAGGCGAACGCCGGAAGGGTGGTTGGGCGAGGAAGGGACAGGGTACCTCAAATGAAATGATCATAAGCTTCTAGAGAAGGAATGAGAAGGATTGGTTTTAAATAGTTTTTAGATGCTTTTAGTCGGATGCGTTTGGGGGAGCCCTCTCAGACTTGCATGAGCTTGGCAGGTGTGGTGGGTGAGAAGCAGTTCAGACAAGGCTAGAGGCATCTAGAACCTTTTCTTCAGGAAGGAGCAGAGTAGTATCGAAGTTGGACCAAATGAGGTCAAGATACTTCCCGGGAAAGAACCTTTGCTAGGCTTTGTCGCTTGAATGTTTGCTCGACGGGTCACCATGCGTCATGTAGACTGTCGAGATCATTTCTGTGTCCTGAATTCCCCGGAAGAACACGGCCTCAAGAAATGATTGAACATCGTCGAAGCCATTTGGAAGCCTTTCTGCTCCACAAAAACAAACACATCTTGGGGAACTCTGAGGCCCTGGGCGCAAAGAAGAGCTTGCTGGCGACAGGTGGGGACAGAATAACCGTGTTGCCCTGTCTTAAAGGTTTGTGGGAAAAATCGGTGAAATCATCGGAAAACTTGATATATCATCCAAAAGCAGGCAGCTGCAGGCTTCAGAGCCCCAGGTAGCTTGCTTTGTTTGGCTGATTTGAAGCCTGAAGCTTTGGTTGTGTTTTTCATCCGTTTTCATCTCCATGTCTACCCACAGGTTGAAGAATGGACATGGAGAAGAATGGACCCAGAATGGGTCTTCAGATGTTTCTTTTGACCCTCAACATTCCACGGTGGGTCTCCGGCCTTCGTTTTTGGCCACACGGCCTTCGGGTTTGCCGCCTTCATGTTGGTGTGTTTGTGTGTGTGTGTTGGGTTGTGTGGATTATGTGATGAAAGTTCTGACATGCTTGAAAGTGCAAACAGAATACTACGTGAGTGCAGGCTTAACAGATTGACCATCGCAAGGAGCGATTGTTTGCAGGGAGTTTGTTCACTGCAATCTATCAGGTTCTTGTTCTTTGCCGGATATGTACTTCTGGAGGATACAACCAGAATGACTCCATTTGGCATGGCTGTGTAAGAACCTGTGCTAGTTAAATACCCGATGCATGTTTTTTGGGAGGACCTCCACTTCTTGTGGGGTCAAGTGGTCAGTGGTCACCCTGAGAATCCCCTTAAGGTCGGTCGGCGTGTACCCGATCCGTCTCGAAACCTCGTCTCGGTCTTTTCGTCTCGCCGTTTGGTGTGTAGTCCTCGCCGTCCTGTCCTCACATCGACGTGTCTCAAGAGGTCAGACTTGAAGAGGACGGATCGATAGGTACCGGGGTACACTCCGAAGTCACGGCCGGGCCGTGGGATGGGCTGGCATGGCGTCTAGGATGACCGGTCTGACATTCCGAAGGTGAGGGGGTGCCATCCATGGAACATCATGTAACCATCTTAGTGATCTTTGGCTTTCCTGGTGCAGGCATCACTGATGTGCAGGGTGTGCAACTTGCAAGCAGGGTGGACTGTTCTTGTATGACTTGTTTGGAAGGGCAGATCCCACCAGTGAGTTCGAGGTTTGGAGGTTCTTTGTTCTGGAAAATATTCTACTTGCGGTGGCCTAGTAGAACTTACCATCTGTGAAAGTTCACAATGATGAACTTTGCGAAGAGTGGGGGACAACATCCCCTGGCACTATGATGTTTGACAGATATGACAGTTTTTCGTTTGAGTGTGATACGGTGATACGGTACCTTTAACATCCATAAAAAGCTTGGGGGTGTCCCAATTCCTGTAACAGTTGGTAAACATCATCATCATCATCATCATCATCATCATCATCATCATCATCATCATCAT